CCATATAACCTTACAATAGTGCCCAGCGGAGTCGAGTCACCTAGACTGGTGGCCACATTGCAACATGATCGATAGCATTCGATCTGCACTAATAATAAGGACTAGACACGCATGACATTGGTCACCCAGTGATCAATAAATTGTGATAATATTCTCCTCACTTGGTTAGCATTCCCACCATAGCATACAAACACATTCGCACCACTATGTAAGGTTGAAAGCGCATAACTGACACTCCCACAACCTAAAAAGCATAGATCTATAGGAAAAATGGACGTTTGACAACCACGTTTTAAATTATTGATATAGTGAACGGTAATGGTCTTTCTAGAATCATCTTCAACACATTTTTCAATCCGCTCAGGATCACTCCCACTTTTTTCATCAGCATAAGACCTTGCAACTGATCATCGTTTAATCTCCTGAATTACGCATCATTTGTCAAAAAATTTTCATCTCACGGATGGTTGTGGGTCATCTTAAATGAAGCTATTATGCACCGGTTGAGGTCATACCGCAAACGAAACATTGTTTGCAACTAGTAATATCTGATTTATGAAGAAGTGGGCAGTTGATTAGAGGTCTATATCTTACACTTGTTGGTAGAACATGCTGGCGAAGACACTCATGGGGAAAATACAGTTGTTCCCAAGTGGAAGCCTGCCTTTTGGCGAAATTCTCCCATTTTCGAACAACAAGAAGCGTATTACGCTCATATGATTTTGAGATGGTGGAGAAGATTTGTTGGAGTTTTGTTCTCTGAGCTGGATGGTTTGGTCGTTGACCTTTCATAGATAGAAGTTTGTGCTGATGAAGTCGTTCAGAAAAACTATGAAAGCTCCACGACCAAACAAAACTCCATCAAAACCGATTGTTTATCTGATAAACAGTTTAAAGTAGTTATTTAATCAGTAAACTTGATGAAATAATCCATAATATCTATTAACGCATATCTTTTTACAGAGTTATTAAAGATGTCCATAAGTATAGCAATGATAATCTAGCTTGAAACTTCAAAGATGAACAGTACAGTGTAAATGTATGAAACTATTTGATTCTTTAAAAATTTCATTTACTCGATATTATATAACTTCCATCATCTATTACTGGGATCTATTAAGATTTATTTAGATAAATTGCCATTTGTCAATCAATTATTTAAAAGATAGTTTCATAAATTCTTAACTAAATTTCTTTTCGTATTTATTTATCCATTGTAGTACTTTTACATATTTTAAATATTATTTACCATACCTACAGATAATATAAATCGATTACAAAAAAAGAAAAACACAACAATTCTGATGCATTTTAATTGTAGTTGATTTTCTGTAATCAATGATTATCATATAGTATATATATATATATATATATGTTCCAGTTCCAAGCACATTCCTCATCTTTATTGATTTATACACATAATGAAATAAAATTAACTTACCAATCAACTAAAATATATAGATTTATTCTAATTTATAATGTGAGCAGGAAAATCATTAATCACTAAGCAAATAAATATGATAATTACTATTGTGTTTGTTTGTTTTGTTTTTGTTTTTTTATGTATAACCCATATATTAAATTAACTATAAAAGAAACAAATAACGTATCATCATATTCGTCAATTGAAGTATTTTTTCTTTTTTTTCTTTTTTAAAAAATTTTAACTGAGGTTTCTAGCAAAGAACAAAGACTATACTTATTACCATGTGGATACAAGTTCTTTTTTAATGTATTATTTTTTTTGTAAATCATTAACTTGTGTCATTTTAGGAAATTGATTTTAATTTATTTTTTTTTAAGAAAATTAAAGTCATATGATCAAATGTTTTATTGAATTATGGAATAATTTGTATAATGAATTAAATTACATTATATCATGCGATTGTATCAAAGACATTTATTAAATACTTATTATTAATACAAAGGTACCTAAATGTAATTACTTTTCAATGATTCAATTGAATATAAATCTCATGATTTATAATAAATCTATAAGAAAGTTGTTTGACAGTTTAAAAATAGTTAGATTATTTTGTCACGTATTAAAGAAACTAATTATTATTGTAATGTGAGCTACTGATGTTGACAGATATAAGTGGTATGTATCACCAATCGAATGTGAAATGATTAGAGGTAGAAGGTTAAGAAGATTGAAGAAAAAAGAATGAGAATAGTGAATGATTGATGTGGAGACGATGGAAGAGTGAAGTCTGATACTATTGATTGATATTTTGAAAATGAATTATTTAATGTATGCTTCTCAGATTTTAGTAAAATGTTCTGTACATTCAATTGTCCTCACTTATGTTCTCGTTCACTGTAATATCAAGTTTTCAAATGATCAGTTAAAGACATTTAATAGAATTTATTCAAACAGATAACTTTCTGTTTGATGATTTTATCCTATCATTCAGGTATTTCATCGATTTTCAAAACTCTATAGGTTTATCGTTAGGATTTTAACATTAATGCTACAAATTCTAGTCCAGACGTATTTTCGTACCAGTACATTAATTATACATTTTATTTAAATAAACGCTTCCCCCAACAACAACAAAAAACGGAATAGTAGACTACACTCACTGCCTTACAGGTAGAAAGTAAACTAAAGGATAATTTCATATCTAACGCCAATTTTTACGCTGTCACTCCTTGATGTTGTTAAAATGTTCCAAAAATTTATTTGTATACATATATGGTATGAAAAATCATTTCAGTGATCAAATTTTTAATTGTCTGACAAGTCATAATGATTGATTTCTTTTACCTGTAAATCTACTTATTGGTCACTACGGTTAAATTTGATTGTCCATTTTTAACCAACAATTTCATGTAGATTAATCTCTTTAACAAATAGAGTTATTAATGAGTATATGATCACTTGAATAATTTACTTTAAGACGGTAATACACGCTATCTTTAATCTATGACCCGATAGTTTACTTTCAATTCTTCATAATAATAAATATCATACTTCTTTACTGTTGCGTGTGTTATTCAAATTTCTAATAATAAATCGAGACAATTAGAAATAATGCTTTCTAGTTATTAATGAAAGAAATTATATAATGATCATTTAGTTCAACAATCATTTGGATAAAAGTGATGATCTTTGTATCATGATGGTTATTACCATTTGATCATTCCGAATGAAAAAGTTTCACTAATTAGTTTTTTTTGTATAGAGTGTCACATAATTGTATCAATTTGTTGTATTTTTACTGTTCCAATAGCTTTTTATTGAAATTAATTTATGAAACACTTTTCGATCACTTCCAAATGAATTTAACTCCTAGAATTTATTTACTTGCTTCACAAGTGAACATTTTTAGTTTCTATTATCATAAACCCATAGTTTTGTATAATGAATTGTGCTAACAAACGTTATGTGAGGTTATGGTAAATTCTGTTGGTAAACCTTTACGAAATGATCCATTCGCAAAATTGGTGAAACTACCTTAACCAATATATATGAATATAATAATTGTCAAAGTACGAAGCTTTGTGAATGTTGGTTAAAATTGAGAGTAATCTTTGTTGTAGGTTTATTTTAGCTGGTGAATTAATAAAAATAATTTCAAAGTATATCTATAGTTCTTGTGAACACTCGTCGTTGAAGCGTTTCAAAACTGGGACAAAACAGCTATTTGCTCCAAAGCTTTTATTATGCCTGTTAAATAGAACATGTCAATTTCGAATTACTGATATATATATATAACTCCGCCTGGAGTCCCTTTCCGGGGGCTACTGCCGGTCTCAAGCCCGGATAAAGGAGGAGGGTTGGGCATGGGGTTAGCGACCCCATCCCGTAGAAAACTAACTCGCTAAAAAAACGCTAACCAGAAAAAATTATTCAAACCATTTAAACTCTGCCCTGGGAGTCAGGAGGTCTTCGTTTAGAATTATGACGCCTCATGATGAAAGCCGAGTTTCTTCGGAAGTCACGAGGCCGATGCCCCTTCTGACAACCAGAGCAACCATTTATATATATATATATATATATATATATATATATATATATATATATATATATATAAACAAGTAGTAATCTGTAGATTTTCATTCCCTAATTTGAGCATTTATCTTGCATAATAGCTTAGTAAGATAGAAATCAATCAAAGTGCAAGTATAACTGCTCATCTAAAACCTTGGTAATATATTTCAATCAGAAATTTTATACAATTTGGGGATTTCAATTTAATTAAATGATTTTCAAATGATCTTATTTATCAATGTGTTCATCTGCGACGTCATAATTTAGAGCATAATAAATTTAATTATTAATAAAATGCACATTTTCATTATAGCACTTCTTTTGATCTCTAAAACTCGGATCAGAACATACAAAGTGATTAGCTGCGTTTCCCTAGAGCATGCAATTCACATTATAAAAACAAAATAAAAAGATTTTTTAAGATGAGGTTTTTAAAGCTCATCATTATTTTAATTTAATGACTTACTCTATATTATTTCAAATGAAACTGATCTATACAACAGTGTTGTTTGCTTATTTTGCATTTCCTCAGTTTACGGCTTATTATGACGACAAACATTTCTAATAATAATTTCCTTCTTTATTGTATGAACTTTTACTTGAACAACACTCGCAATCAATAATGAAATTCCTTTTTCTATAAATATTTAGTTACTTTCTATAACTTATTTAGCACAGAGAGAAACACTGAAGCTGAATTGTAAACCACTAATCTTCACTTACAGTAATTACCTTGCTCCTTAAAATTCCTGTGCTCAAACATATATAATGCTGAGGTTTCACGCTACTCCATATTTGTCAGTTAAGACGAAACAGATCTTTAGTGTTCACTGGTCATCAAAGATTCATTGTCGATTATCATAACCTATAATCAACCCTATCATCAAGTAAACTCATTTTTATGAAACAATAGTTTAAACACTATTTTATGATTGATTTTTATTTGAAACTAACTGACATAAAAAACTAGTACTTTTTCGAGCCCAAACTGTTTCATTTCCACAAACATTCCAACAAACACTTAAATAAATACAAAACCAATGAATAAGTGTCTCCGATAAAAAGTTTAGTGGAAAGTTTATAATATATAAACAGTTGTAATAGTAATTATCTGTTTCGTGTAGCATGAAATATGTGAAGTGCTCTTCAAATTCAGTAAGTTTATAATATGGCTAATGAATATTCTCGTTTCATCAATGATATATTTTTCATTCTAGACATCACTTATCTTTTCTATTCTTAAAACCTCACCAGAATTGTTACAATCTATCACCAAGCTTGTCGTACAGAAAATATTAAAGCACTACTAATGTAGTATTTCGTGCTACTTAATGATTCATCAGCAATCAGTACCTAAAATCCCACATAGAATCGAACAAAAAAAATTTAAGTATCATGGAGATTATAATAATTCCATTTATTAACTCTAACCGATTAGTCTGTTTAATAAAATGCGGTAAATCAAAAAAAATATGGGAAAAGAAAATACATTTTACTATTTAAAAAAAACAGATTTTTTCAACCCCAGAATTGATCAAAATTATTGACAAACAGTTTTATATTAGATGAAACAATTGAAATTAATGACTTGAATAGTTTACTAATCTGTAGATTAATTACCCAAAGCAATAATAATAATTTTTTTAAAAACTACTAAACATAATTCATTGAATTGGTTATATATTTGAAATGTTTCAAAGTAAAGAAATAAATGACTGGCTAATATTAGATACCCCCCCCCAAAAAAATCAACTAGGTTACGTAATAATATTTGTAGGAAACATTGATAAATATATGTAGTTATTAAATATTAGTGATGAAAACAACAAATTGATTATTCAAATAAGAATGTACTACAAGATTAGTTGAGTAAATTTAACCATAACATACCGAAATTTATTCAGAAAAGTTTAAAAAGACAAATTTGAATAAAGAATTAAATTTAGTAAATATATTCTATTCAGTTTAGTTATAATTCAATTATCAAAGATTATTTAAGTTGTCTTGCTACAAACATATAAATAGGACCAATGTCATTTATTCGAGGACCTTTTATAAAATCCGTCTGTAATAATATTAAAGATTTATGCCAGGTAATATTATTATTGTATTCGCCATCCAGATTGTAAGCACTATTCAACTTTTGTAATAATTCCATTGAAAGATCAGAATATCTAGACGACGAAGTTGAAGTGATAGCTTGTTTTTGAATCAATTCATTAGAATGTTCTTCATAAATATTTGAAGTGACACCAGTGAGTTTAGTTCTAGATAATGATCTATTAATTGGTAATAATGATTGTTTCTTAATATTACTCATATATTTTTCATTGTTGTAATGAATATCACTTTCATATGTAGAAGTATTAATATTACTAGTAGTATTCATAGTTCTACCATAAATTAAACAACATTGTGATCCAACAGATATTTTTGGATGTTTTAATTCTTCTCTTAATAAAAATTCTTTATCTTTTAATGCTTTCTGTAATACTATATAAAGCATTTTAACATCTTGTGATAATTTACATTTATAAACTTCATAAATTTTACGTTTTGCTTTATCAAATTCTATACATAATATAAAAATATATGGTTTGCTTTCAGAGATATATATACATTTTATATGTTTATATAATATAAATCTTCTTGGTGGATTTGAACCGCATTGTTTTGATTTTTCAAACCGTATTTGATCTTGTAAACAATATAAATTACAATGAGCTAAACGTTTATTTAAATTATTTTCAATTAAATATTCTGCTTTATCTTTAGTTAATTCATCATTTAAATTCACTTGTTTACTTTTTAATATACATATATGACATATATAATAAACAGATTGTTTTGTTTTTTTATCCAATTTTAATTGATTTAAAGAATATGTATTTAATCCATCATATTCATAAATATGAGGTAAACTGAGACTCTTACTACGTATATCTGACATATTATTATTATTGATTTTCTAATTATTATATAATAATATCCAACTATTAATTTGTTTTCGAATTTATAGTTTGAACAACTCAAAATCCTGTTTGATCCTATCTATATATGATTAAAATTACATAATTAATTGAAATTATATGCGTTAGTATATGTGTTTATTGTTCATTTGTATATATATATTTAATAATGGGACAATACAATTGTAATGTAATGTCCAACAAAATAGTTTTCTTAAATCTAATCTGATTGGATTGTTATTATATTCGATACATTCAAATTGTGCATATATTTCAATGTAAAGTATGAAATTAAAATATCAATTATTCTATTGCTCAACTTTTATTAGTGTTCAATTTTTAAATAAATTTAAAAGTGAAAACATAGCACATACAAAAGATCTTTTCAAAAAAACACAAAAAAGGAACATCTTTTGTAATCATTATGCAATGGTTCTAAAATGAGTTCATCGCAATGAAATTTGATACATTTATTTGAAAACATAAATTTTATTGTATTTAGAAAATTCTATATTTTTTCTCAACACCTTTTGTTTTTTTTGGTGTTTGTTGGTTGTATCTTTTTTCCAAGTAAATATATTATAATCAATAAGTAAGGGTGATCATGATTATGGTGAAGCGCGATATTAAAAAAATCAACCAAATATTTGAAGATGATATTCTTATTGCATAAATATAATTTTTATATTAGAAGAGTTTTTGTGCATATTATAGTAATTTTAATGGTTGAAATCACGAGGTGGTATCGTGGAGTCATACAACAGGACGGATTGGCCATCCAGTGCTTCCAGGTTTTCCATGGTGGTCTAGTTTCAATTGATTCATGATCTTAATCATTGAAAAATATAATTTTATTTCGATAAAAACATATATCAAGTTCGTATATATGTAGTTATATGGAAAATGTATATCTATAGAAGGATAGAAATAATTGTGTCTTAAAGTGATTCAAGACTAAATATCAAATGAGGTTGCGTACTAATCAAGGGGTAGGTAGGACAATATTTTATGAGTCAGATAATAGTCTAAATGACAAATATGAAGATGATGCATATGATGCAATCTTTTCTATCCTTCTATAGACATATATTTTCCATATAACTATATATACGAATGTACAGCTTAAATAAAGGAAATTTTCTTCGCTGAATTCTTTTTTTTTTCATATTCAATGACACTATGAGTTATTTTAAATATCAAGTTGCCTTATTCATCTAGTTATTTCGTGTAATCAAAATTTAGAACAACATATATAAGAGAACAGTATTGACTAAAACACTGCCTTGATTAGTTTAATAATTTTGTATATGCATATAAATATCACTGTATATTAGAGTAAAGCCTGATGAGGATCTAATGGAAAACAATATTGTTCGCTTATTCTAAATAGTAATCACAATTATATTACTTAACAGTTAGTAAAGTGTTTTCTGTATATACCATATGAATCAGTATTTTATTTTATAAATATTTAAAGAATATATTAATGAATATATTAAGTTTAAACAAAACATTTAACTCTGAAACAAGTGATATAATTAAATTATAGCTTCATGCCTGAAAATACATTCTTTATTGAGTGTCATTGAAAAGATGAAGAAGTATTGTATTCAACGTTCTTGATATCACCATAATGCTTAGTGAGTAAATACGATATAAAATAAAGGCTTTCTTAAAAATAAAGCTAAATAATAGGACCATCAAAAATTTTTTTCCACCCCCAAATTACAATATTTTTCATCCCATGTTTCGTACAATGAAATGGCTAGTTTTAAAACTTCGATGTAATTGGTTAGTAATGTCTTGAAAATTGCTATAAATTATCAGTACTTGTAGACGTGCCAAGTACAAGAGCTTTTGTTTCTCACGTCACGGAAATAGAGGAAGTCTTTTTAACAACCTTGTTTCTGGTTGAGTTCCCATCGGTTGAAGCGTTAAAGACCGCTATCATCAATTTCGAAAGATCGACTAACATCCATTATGTAGTGAGAGATTCGCATATTGGCAGAGATCGAAATTCGTATATTAAATTTGTGTGTTGTAGAAATGGGCGTATAAGGTCTAGCGGTTCGTCAGAGCGTATTAGACGGAGGAGGTAATTTGGTTAATGTTATTATAATTTGTTTCACGAAGCGCTTCCATGAACACCCAATGTCCGGCCTTCATGTTTTGTAAGATTGTAGACGACTACTGGACTGTTGTACGTGGGAATGTTCATCACAATCACGAGCGAAATTACCTGAAGTACCAAGGTAATTCATGGGTGCGTAGGTTAACAGATGGGGAGCCGAGCATGAAGGATGCAGTGATATCGTTAGTCAGGCGAATGTCTGAGGAACAATGCAGTTCACTTCATAGTTCAAGGTAAACTACCAACAACACCGTTGAACTTGCATGGAGAACAGCATTCGTACACCCATTCAACAACCTCGACTAACGTTGCACTGCCGTTTATGCAACGAGGAGCTGTTGATTTGGATGAAACGCTCAGTGACGATGAGGAGGAAGTATTTAGTATTAACTCTGAAGAGTTAACTGAACGGGACATCCAAAGTGACGAAGAGGATGACGAGAACGGACTATGCACTATCTGTAATCTAGCGCAGCCGCCGTGTGAAAATAATGATGCGGTTTGTTGGGTTTTCTGCAGATGGGAAGCAATCTTTCATATCTTCTGTGCCTACGACCCATCACTGAACGTACGAGCAGTACACTGTCCTATGTCCGGCGCCATTACGAACTAAAACGAGAACGAATAAAGGCCTTTTTCAGGGCCATCCACAATTTGATTTCCATTAATTTTTCTCCACTTCTTTTCCATAACTCCGCCTGGAGTCCCTTTCCGGGGGCTACTGCGGGTCTCAAGCCCGGATAAAGGAGGAGGGTTGGGCATGGGGTTGGCGACCCCATCCCGTAGAAAACTAACTCGCTAAAAACACGCTAACCAGAAAAGTAAGTAAGTAAGTACTTCTTTTCCATGGCAAAGGTCAAGTGATTAAGCATTTGAATTTAGATATGCCTTAGAGATTAATAATCGATATTAATCTCTAAGGTATTATCGCTCATGTATTTGTAAACTTGTTTCTCACGTTTATTAGATATAAAGGTTAAGAAAAGTTAGACAACATTTTGTCATCGAATGAACACTAATCTAGTAATTTTAGATTTAAAATAATGTGATTACCGTTCACGTATTAGTAACACATTTGTAAACTATCTAATAATAGTACATTTTAGTAAATGTTAATAGGAATATTTCAATATAGTGAAAATTTTAATTTTGTCGTTTGGTCAATGAATTAGTGAATATAATAAGATGATTACAAGGATGAATGTGATTAAAGCTCATAGAGAAGTAAACACAATTAAGAAAATTATCTTATTTATGAATACAATAATGACATTATAAAACAAGTTGAAACCGTTATCATTGAAATGATTAATGTGATTAAAGGTCATATAGTGGGTGTAAAAAGAAATAAGAATATAATCCGTTTCATGAATACAAAAATATTAAATTTATATTCTTGTTTTATATTAAAAGTACCTTAAACCAGAACTATGCGTACGTCTGATCATCAACTAAGCCTTCATTGTTATTCATCAATACTGATTATAACACCGTATTCATTTACACACCTATATAACAATCACATTTTAGCAATTAAAAATTTTCATCAAATATTCAAAAATGAAAAATAATTTAGCAAACAATCGTTTTCAATAACTTCATCATCGAACTATACAGTTACAAGTTTATAATTTTAATATTTTATAAAGGCCAAAAATAAGGCAGGGCATTTATGAGTTTAACAATGTAATGTGTTACCAATGGTGAACGTTTGCATTTGTTCGGATAAATATATATACTTACAAATTGTAATACTTGCAAATTACAAAGGTCATTATTCAATATAGGTCAGGATGATTTTCAGTAAAGTGTTCAGTCACAATTGATTGATCACTGGTTGGTGACCAATGTCATGCTTGTCTAGCCCTTATTATTAGTACAGATCGAATGCTATCGGCCATGTTGCAATGTGGCCACCAGTCTAGGTGACTCGACACTGCGGGCACTATTGTGTGATTAGATTGCGATTGGATGTAGTCGACAGGAAACCCTGGACCCGGGTTTCGTGCTACTTGGCACTCGTCAGCAAGGTGTACCTGTAATTTTTGAGGGAACTGGTGCTCCCGTGTCACCCAGCTTCACAGTCAGAGACGTTACCAACGAGCAACCCGGGCCGCGATCGACCTCCTGTAGGACTGAGTTGTAATCACAATTGACTGATCACTGGGTGGTGATCAATGTCATGTTTGTTCAGTCATTATTATTAGTGCAGATCGAATGCTATCGACGATGTTGCAGTCACAATAAGTGGAAGAGCATTATAGGAAAATTGAAAACGCACAAAATATTTTGTGTCAATGAAATGCATAATATGAGAATTTAATCTTGTCAATTGAGATAATAATAAGGATAATAGGGACAATAAATAATAATAACATTTTAAATGTTCATTGATTCAGTTGACCTTATTCATATTTATACGTTTAATGTCGATAGATATTTGTTTAGTCAGACGACGTAGGTTTGTTCATTTACACTTTATGAAACTGATATTTCAAGTGCTTGTCAAAAATGGTTACATTCATAATGTGTAGATATTTCAGCTTTCGTATTACGGTTAACAATATTCATAAATGATTGATTAAACACACTAGTTTTTATTACGACCGAAAAATTAATTTTAAAATACAGAACTAAAAATAATTTAAAGTGAAAACAATAAACCGTTTCAATGGATTTTAAAATTAACCGCATTGATTTCTAACGTTTACTATTTTACACTAAGATTGCCCATTTACAAATTAAACGTTTACTAAATATTAAGTACCTATTTTGGAAACATTCTTACCACTTCTATAATAATTTGTTTATTAATTGGGTACTCAACATTAGACTACCAACATAATTCAT